GTCATTTGGTTGACAGACATTGCCACCCCTAGAGCTTTGCTGTTAGCATGGCTGAATCATTTCAACACTTATATTTATTCACCTCAACCTTCAGGTAGCATATCCTCAAGGTTTTAGTATCTCCTTTATCTGTCATCGTAAATTCTTGGCATTTGAAGTTCCTCATTTTAAGACGCCAACATCAGTAGTACTAGGTAGATTTAATAACTTGTGTTTGTTACACATTTATTATTGGTGTTTTCTTCTCCTCCCGCGAAGATCACTCCTGTCTTTTCATCTTCCTTTCACACAAGAGAGTCTTTGAGGGTCTGAAATCCTAGTTGTAAATGTTAATGTATAACATGGAGAAGTTGGATCGATGAGGTATATTAAACTAGCTTTCCTCTCTTCGTCCTATCAGCCTGATGAGGCAGAACACACCGTGTCTCTTTACCATATATCCACACAAACACAAGTCATTTCTTTCACCTTTTCTTCTCTCCTTACACAGCCACATAAAAGCCCACGCACATCCATGCAATATCTGTTTGTCTCCATCGCTAAATAATTGAATCACTTAACAGCGATCACCAACAATGGAGAGTAAATTATAGCTCCGTAGGTAGAGAACAGCCATTACTGTAAGGCCTTATGAAGAGGTATGCTTTGTGGAGACCTTGTCATTGTCAGAGCACTAAATATGGAGGAGAAGGGGGGGAAAGTATGACATGTGCTTTAGAATGGATATCGTATAATGCTGGTATGGGGTTTTAAAGGCCAAGGCTGTTAATGTTGGATGTGCAATGACTAAAAAACATTGGCTAACATAAGTGTGTGTGTTAGTATGTATATATGTATGGTAGATAGATTTGAAGGAGAGCATAAATAAAGGGTGAAAAGTTCTCCCCTTAAGATGAAGTATTGGTATACGTTTGTGAAAACAGCTTATATAGGATCAAGAAGTTACATGTATTGCTATTCGACAACTTCAAGTGGTGGTGGTAATTAAGGAAGCAGAGGAGGATGTCATGATGACATTTAAATATCGTCAAAGACCAGGTACGGAGAAGGTTCGGTCCCAAAAGTCAACATTTAAACATATTACAGCTGATTTCTGATTTAATAAATGTTATTTATAACAACATTTCTTTCATTTTATTAACTTCTCATTTATATTTAAAGAGGCCCTTATTTGGGGGATTTCCTTTTCCTGTAGTGTGTTATATAGGTTTTTCTGCATTTAAATGGTCAGGCTAAAATCCCCCCTTTCCTGAAACGCCTCCACTGGACTCCTTTGTTTACTGTATGAACATAGTGACATCACTATGTAACTCGTGCTTCTATTGGTTTGCACTGAAACACATTGTAAGTGATAGGCTAAGGGGCGGTAAATCTGTAAGCAGTTGATCAATCACAACAGAGCCGGCCAGCTAACCAATCAGAGCAGACTGGACTCTGGTTTCAGACAGAGGGTGAAAAGAGGTGCTGCAGCACAGGCAGTGTGAGAAAAATAAAGAGCTTTTTGAACATTAAAGTTGTTAGGGAATAATTCTGTCTTTACTTTAGATATTTAACCTTATGGCTCTGTTATCTCTCTTAAGGAATGGGAGGCTCCAGCTATCTTGATAAACCAGTTCAACTCTCGGTCACAAAATGGTTTATACGGCTGTGGGAACACTGGCTTCGAGGCCATTGAGGGTCAGACGCAAGTGATTCAGGGTGCCCAGCTGTTTAGTCTATCTCTCCAAATATGTTGTTTACTCTCTCTGAACTAGTTAAAAGGTCTATCGAGAGATAGGCTGATCAGAATTGACATGGCAATCCACCCGTGCAGTCAGAACCTTTTGCTGCTGTGACTTGTGATATGAATTCTCCGGCCGTTATACTTGCAATAAACTACCAGTGTTTGACATCAAAGCTCCAACTCTCCTCGTGTCTCTCTGAGTCCTGACTCTCCATTGCTGCAGAAGTGTCCCTTACAAAAGTATGGAGACATGTCACAGTAGGGACACATATTATAAATATCAACCTGTAAATATGCAGAATATGTCCTCTTTAACTTCCGTACGTATGTAGTTAACATACGTAAAATTACATAACCAAGTTATTTTATGTAACATACTTAATTTACATCACATACTTAAATTTCAAACATAAATAACGCAGCAAACATACTTTTTTTGATATAAAAGTATGGCTTGATCTTTTCCCAAACCTGACCGAGTAGTTTTGTGTGAGTGTGCTGTTTTTTTTCTAGTACTATAACGTATGGGCTCTCCTACCTTATAATCTGCTGACCTCATTTTACATGGCAGGTTTTACTACCTCTTCTTGCCTAATATGCAACATGTGCCAATACCTTTCCAAAAAAGAATTCCAGCGTAACAAGTTGTTACTCATACTATTTCCCTCCAGGTTTGATAGTATGAGTAACAACTTGTAACACTGGAATTCAACAAAAGTGCAAAGTCAACAGGCAATCTAATTTCCTTTTTTTGCTGGACTGTCAACTCTTACAACAGATACCTCGCGGCTCAATCAGATGACAAACTTTTGTTGGTTTGGACCGGTTTGGACAGATGAGAGGAAGGTTATATGGAACAGTGTCATTCCTACTAGTTTTGTCGCATTCCGTTCAGTCATTACAACAAAACACAGTGTGATTGTACGTACAGTTTAAGTACTCTATAAATATAGTCAAGAATAATCGTGCCGGATGGTTAAGGATTACATCTCTTTTTATTACTACCTCCAAGTCCCATTTTAATGTTTTGTACATGGATTGTCTCCCCTAGTTTTTCAGATTCATATGCAAATATCAGTTTATAGAGATTAAGATAGCGTGTGTTGCTTGTGGATTATTGCATAGAAACCCATAAAATGGCATTTTGTATACTGTGTGCAAATACAGGAATACTATTAGCATGCTAGTTTCCACATCACTGTTTCTTTTCTTTCATTCAGCAGTGATGAGACAAGGAAACAAGTTACCTGATAGCTATATATTCCTTCCAAAACAAAAAACAACAGGCAAAAAACTGATAACAATGTAAAAAGATTGACGCCGTCACTACTACTGTACTACAACTTCCCCAGGCACGTGGAAGTACAGGCTGGGGAAATACACTGACCCCCCCTCCTCTCTCATTACCCATCCTCCACTCTCCTGTTACAGCCACGCTGAAGCTCACACTACACACCACCCGGGGGCTTTCTGTGTGTGTGTTTGTTTGTCTCAGCCGGGCCTTATCAGTAATGTGTGTGTGTCCATGTTGATGATCATATGCTTTCAGTTAATGCATACATGCATGCCTGAGCAGCTATCTATTTTTCATTGTTTATGTCTGCACAATGCATCTGCATGACGTATGTATCAGTGTAGCAATGCTGTGGTTTACACTGAAGACATGCACTCACTTCCAACCGCTTTTATAATAAAATAAATAGTCATCTGAGTCAAAGAGGACATATTACGGTCATTTTCAGGTAAATATTTGTGTTTTGTGCTTCTTTTGTGACATGTCTCCATGCTTTAATGTTCAAAAAGCTCTTTATTTTTCCCTTACTGCCTGTGCTGCAGCACCTCTTTTCACCCTCCGTCTGAAACCAGAGCCCAGTCTGCTCTGATTGGTTAGCTGGCCGGCTCTGTTGTGATTGATCAACCGCTTACAGATGTCCGGCCCCTTAGCCTATCACGTACAATGTGTTGGAGCGCTAGCCAATAGAAGCGCAAGTGTTACGTGATGTAACTGGAAGTAAACAAAGGAGTCCAATGGAGGCGTTTCAGAGAGGTGGGGAGTGTGTGGGAGAGAAACTCACTCTGGAAGGAACACAGGGATTTTAGCCTTTGAGGATACATGCACACATACCTATATAACACACTACAGGAAAGGGAAAACTCAAAAATAAGGGCCTCTTTAAATATAAGAGAGAATTGAATATGTTGTTATAAATTGATTGATCGTTGTTTGTCAAACCAGAAATCTGCGCTAATATGTTTAAAATACTATCGATTTTGCAGACAATTTTGTGTTTCTACAAAGTTGTCCTCATCGTATAAACGGTTGTCTGTGAAAGCAGCTAATTATTACACGTTTGTTGTTGGACAGTGACATCTAGTGGCTATATTATTATGACAGGTATAATAAAGGGTAAACATGGCGCAATAGGAGGATGTTGGGGAGGGTGGAGCAATAGGAGGAGGTTGGGGAGGGTGGAGCAATAGGAGGAGGTTGGGGAGGGTGGCGCAATAGGAGGAGGTTGGGGAGGGTGGAGCAAACAAACACAGGACTTGTTTCCTGCGTAAAACCAAAAGTCACCGGGACTTAGCTTAATTTACGTCGTAAAAGTTATACTACGTTAGAGGGTCACAAAGTGACTTTTTTAAATATGTAAAAAACTAACGTAAAATACGTAAGTATTTTAACCCAATTGATCTTTTGCTATCGAAGTAGTTTTGCTGCATAGGCCTATAGGGGCCTATGTAATCAAATAGTTCGATTCACAACATTTAATAGATTGGTCACGTGTTGAACAGTCATATGTTTAAAACTGCCACCGTACTACAATTAAAGAGACAATTAAAGAGAACGGTCATATTTAGAGAGGTATTTGCATATGGCGGAGAAAATATTATTTTGTGGGGGAGGGGTGCTGCATTTCACAATACACTACTCTACTGACCATAAACAATTACATGACCTAATTTGGTGTAACACTTCAAACATATAAATAAAAATGTGGTCTACACTGTAAGTTTATTATTATTTTTCTCTTACGTATAACAGCATAACTAGCATGCATACAACAACACTCCAAAAGTAGCTTTGTCTTTATCACAACATTAAGCTTATAACAAATCTAATTGGTCTAAAATGTTTTTTAACTAATCATTTGTATTCCGTAATTACAGATTTACCGCCAGTCTCACCCCACCACACCACTTTTCCATACTGCGACACCCATTCTGATGTTTATGTGACTGGAGTGTGCTTCCTGCAGCGAGGAGCTCAGGCCTAGCTCATTTTTGCCTGGCAGGTCAGCCACTCTGTGTTTCAGTCTGAAGCCGTTGGCTGCTACTGAACCGTTTGGCTCTTTTCTCTACCAGCGAGCAACCTACAATCTAGACCCAACTGTCCTTTCAGCTCATTTTTAAGGGGATTTATCTTCATATATGCCCGTGTATCCAAGACATATCGGTCATTGGGGATTCCTAGGACCGGTTGGCCGGGTCTGAAGGCCGTTATAACGCTTTTTTCGAGGTTTAATTAGAGCTAGAAAATAACGCTGGTGGAGGAGGAGATTCCATATTAGGAGCACAGAGGAGAAGGCACCCCCCTTGTGTGATTTGGAGCTTTTGGTGAGTGTTTTTGTTTTTATGCTATAATTGCCGTTATAAATTATACTACCGTGTAGCGTGAGCACCTATGACTGTATATACGAGATTTGGGCAGGTTATTGCGCTGTTTTGAACGTTTATTTTTATATTTTCTCTTGGGGTGGGGGATGGGCAGCGTCAGCGCGTGAGTAGGCGCGCGCACCGTGCATGTATTCGTAGGGTAGCTCGTGGTTGGTTTGTGTTTGTGAGCGCGCGCTTCCTTCCTGCAACTACTGCTAGCTTTGAATTAAAACCACTTTAGTGGTTTTTATAAAAAAAATCTCAAACATAACGATATCTTTTATATCATGTGTGTTATTATACAAGAATACACCCTGGAAATTAATTAGTTTTTCTAAATAATCTTAACTTTTTACTAAACTAATACCTTTTTTTGTAATGTATCTTTCTGGGATGGATTAATGCTGTTATTTCTTACTTACTTTAATTACACTTTGTACCTGTTTGTCATTACTCAAATATAAGTTAGTATTGTTAAAAACAACAACAGTTTTGAATAGTTATGAATCAAAACTGAAACTAGTTTTACAGTGTAAGCATTTTGTCCAATAATTGTAGGCTTCTTACCCTACAGATAGTTTTGCTTTAGTTATTACCACAGTTAAAGATAATGTTGCTGTTTAACCTTAATTGTCTGGAACATACAGTAGATACATACACATGCCATAATACACTGTCTATTATTCTACTATGTATTATTTTATTGGCTATTGTGTCAATTTTATTCAAAGCTGTCTACAGTTCTTTGCAGCTGGTTGTTCCAAAGCCATGGGCGGTGTGGGACACACACACACACACACACACACACACACACACACACACACACACACACACACACACACACACACACACACACACACACACACACACACACACACACACACACACACACACACACACACACACACACACACACACAAGGGCCACTTGCCAACCTTGTGAAGCTCAACTCAATGACACAATGTACCAGTCCCAGATAAGCCTCGAGTATAACATCTTCTCAAAAGGCTGCTAATACAGGCTCTGTGTAACCACACTCACAATTCACAGACTAATTAGGTTACAGTATTTTTAGGCGGGAACTGACATTTTAAATACAAATTGTTATTTAACACATTTTGATAGAGTTTTTTTCTGATCTCATATGAAATTGCTATCCTTGAACTTTAAAAAACAATAAGAACACTCACTATTGTGTTTATGTATAACAGAGGTAACACATCCTTCATTCTTGGGTTTGTGCTTGCTTTAGGTGGGCTTAGTGTGTCAATCAAGGACACCTGCTAGTCACACAGTCTTTGTTGTGGTCACTGATGTTTCTAATGTTGACATAAACGATTTGAATTTTCCTATGTTGCAGATAGAACTGAAGCTATGAACGTTTTTTTGTTTTGTTAGTGCATGAGCCTGGTGTGACTTTGGCTCTGTATCCTGGTGTCATTTAGCTTGAAACTAAATCCAATTCATCGCTGGGGATTAGCATCCCTAGATATTTTCCCCATTTTGTTTTTGTGTGGTCATGATTATAGTTTCTTCTGTAGCAGTTTATTGGTCTGATGTGGTTATCATATACTAGGATTATTATATGTTTTGTACTGAGTTATAAGTAACTGTTGTATTAACTAGAAATAATCGGTATAAGCATATTCTGCAAATAAACACAGAATCTGTTGGCAACGGCAATTCATATTTGTCAATCGGACTATGAACAATGACCAGTCAATATTGTCCCCAGATATCCAAGTACTTTACTGGAACTTCTCAAATATTGCTTGTTGACGCCAGAGGCTACATTTTCATCAGACTGAAAGGCAATGGGTTCTGAGATTTCCGAGAACTTGGTAACCATACAAGAAACAGACTCCAAAAAGGTTTTGGGCCGAGCTAGAACCAGTGTTAAAACGTTTTCTAATGTCCTTCATAGATGACCCACATTAATACCAGGGTCACACCTGAACATGCAATGTGTGTTGTTAGGTGTTAATAAATGGGTTGGAACTAAGGGATGCACGATAATTATCGGCCCGATAATTATCGGTCCGATATTAGGAATTATGACGTCATCCCGATAAACCCGATACCAGTATTAATAGCCCCGATAATATACAATATATTTTTTGGGTAAAAAAAAAGAAAAAAATACTGCGGTGTGGGGTGGATTGGGATGAGGGGCGCTTGTTTTTCACTCGGCTCCTCCCGTTTTGCCAGTACTGTGGTATTAGTGGTTTAGGAAGAGGGGAGTTTTTCACAAATCCAGCGCTCCCTAACTCGTGAAGCCAGGACAGTCAACAAACATGTCGTCGGTGGTATGGGCGTTGGAGCTATGTGCAACTCAACAGTGGCGTTTTCTCCCGGAGGCCAAGGGAAGCCAGGCTTCCCCTGTTTTTTCGGATTGTAGTTATAATTTAAATAAATAAATAAAAACACTTAGTTTTGTTTCGATAATTCTCCTTTGCTGTGTGTTGCTGCCGGCCCGTCTCTCCCCCATTCTCATTGAGTATTTTACAAAGAGTGAAACAAACCGCGCCCCTCTAGGTGTTATGGTGAAACAGTAGATTGCACTCTCTGTTGCGAGAGGAGGCCAGCCGAATCTGGCTTCCCTTGGTGAAAAAAAATTGAGGGATTGACCAATCAGATGAGGCTCACATGATGCCCCTGCCAACCTGTGATTGGTCAGGGCCATGCCAAGGGAAGCCAGAGGCGGCTGGCTTCCCTTGCCTCACAATCCAATCAAATCGCATCAATTTAGTGTTGCAGTCGAGTGACGCATCCTAAAATCCGGAAGTAAGCTGCGCTCGGTTTCCCTCATGTTTCCCTCGACAAAAAAGTAATGGGATTTCTCCATAGGATTTAGGAAAATAGCTCGAAATAAGGTCAGTGGAAACGAACCTGTTAGATAAATGCAAGTTTTCTTCAGTCGGATAATATCCACATGTCTACCCTACTTTTATAATTTTCTAATCATAAATCTAATCGATAGAAGATAGATAGCGTCACTGCACCACTCTCACCGCCGTTAGAAAGTAGCAAGCAACTGAAGCAAGTGCAATTATGGAGGGTGGAGATTTGGAGTATTTAATCAAAAAAATAATTGTACTAAACTTCCGCTACAGCAGCAACAACAAATACAATCTGATGACAGGCCGATGCCCAAACTGGAGCTGTGTAGAGAGGAACAAAGGAGCGAATCGGACGTAAAACGTTAAAGGTCTCCTGATGTAGTTTGTGAATGAATGCTTATTAGAGTTTGGGCTGGAGAGTGCGTGCGGACCTGTCGGTTAGATAACAGGTGTGTGTAAGTCCTGCATCTGTATGATACAAATGTGTGTAAAATGATAAGCACTCATCTGGTTACGTTATTACATTGACCACCACACCCCCGACCCAAAAGAAAGGACGTATTATTGGCTTCCCCTAATTTTTTTCCCACGCCACGCTACTGCAACTCAAGGCATATGCTCGAACCGGAGCTGCCTGGACGCTGCAATCATGTTGTGCACTATCCGTGCTGAGTGTGCTGACTTTTCGTACAATGTCCCACTGTCTGGCTTCCTGCATAAAGTCAAGTGCTCGGCGCAGTTGTGGCGAAATGTCGCTCCTCTGTTTTCATTTAAACAGCTCCATATATCCGTTAGCGCAGCTAGCTAGCACCAGATGCTAACAACAACAATGCACGTAAGGTCTCTCTCTCGCTCGCTCGGGCCACTCATACACACACCCTCCCGGTCCTCCAGATGGCCAGTCGGTGCCTGCCGGTGAGCGTGATAGTGTGGTCTGCCACAAGCGGGCGACAGGAGCGGGGCTGTCAGCATCAGCTTGTAGATGGTATTTTAAACTCGATGCGCTCTGAAACTACGGGGCGGCCGAGGACAAAAAATACACATGCGTTAATCGCGTTAAAATAATTAGTGGCATAACAATTTTTTTATTATCGGGTATCGGTCTTGAGAAGCAGGAAGTTATCGGTATCGGTATCGGTTTAAAAAAAACAATATCGTGCATCCCTAGTTGGAACAGTTCATTGGTTGAGTATTTAGAGGACGTATTGGGCTTTATCGTGTCGTTGGCTTTTTTTATGTTGAATTATATCATATTATGTCTATATGATTTTGTCCACCCCCAATTAGACAACTTCCAAACAGCAGATTGAAGTGAATTATTTTCCAACCAAAAACCCTTCAATGGTTGGATTCTTTCTGGAAGAAAACCAGTCTGCCTTACCTGACTACAGCAATGTATACAACAGTACCACTTATTGTTTATTGTCATAGACACCCTCTTATAAATATTAGGGATGCTCCGATCGATCGATATCGGCCGATACTCACTCTCTACCGATCGATCGGTGCTCTCTAAACATACCGATCGCGAGAGCCGATCGCATGACGTAAAATACATGACACTTTTCTCTGTGTGCGGCAAACAAAAGCTCGCCAAAATGGCTTCACCGGTCTGGCATTATTTTAAGGTGTCCGAAAAAGACAGTAAAATAGCGGTATGCAACGTGTGTGAAGCAGAAATCCTGCAGCTCCGCCCGCCGGACCGGTAAGCGCAGCGAAACACACACACAGGGAGAACCAGACCGCAGTTCATTTCCTCATATTCCAAACGAGAAATTACGGTAGCAAATCACCCGGTTCTTTACGACCAGAACTATTAACGGGATACAAACCGGAGGAACCAGGCATGCAGGGAGGTGGCAGAGACAGTGGGTGAAACTGGTAGGTTTTCGCCTGTTTGGGGAGTTTATATATATATATATTGCTCGCATAAAATCCCCGGGGTTTTTTGCTTTGTATGTCGGGGGCGGGAGATTCATGTGATTGGTTGTTGGTCGCGTTGCTCGCAAAAAATCCCCAAGCGTTCAGACACGCCCAGCTCCAAGATTTTCAAGATTTTTGAAAAGTTGCTGTGTGGACGTACCGTAAGAGTTAGACCTAACACACTTAGCTATTTTATCT